TCACCAGAAACTCAGTCAATGGTTGAGTGTTGGACAGGCATTGGAGCGCACTGTTCATGAAACAGGTGTTCCCTAAGTTCATGAGTCCACACAAACCGGGAACACATTTCGATGAACGGGTGGCTATGGCTCCATAACGGGGACGACTCGAAGGCCACGTGCCGTCACTGTTGCGCACCTCCAGAGTGACGATTGTGCCGCTCATGAGTCCCACGTCATGGAGGCTCTGATTGTCGTTTGTCTTGTCGTTAGAACTGGAAGGAGAGGCCGACTCGTTGTGCGCGTTCAGCACAGACCCACTCGACCACAATTGGGTGTCTTTGGAGGTGTCGACCGAGAAGAGTGTCTTCATATCGCTCTCCAATTGAGCCAAAGTTGTCACTCGACTCAAGTGTTTGACGACAATGTCTTCTTTGGCGCCATAGAGACAGAGCTTGAGTTCGATGGGATAGACCTCAACCATACAGTAGGCGGAGTACGTGCCCTGTTCTATGACCGGCCGCCGGATCACCTGCTCCTCACACACCACTCCGAACTCCTTGACCAACAGCTGCCACCCCTCCTCCGGCACGAACTGGTAGTCCAAGTCTTCCTGCAGACGCTCCCGGAGAGTCCAGTTGTCCGTCGATTGGAACAGAGCTGTCCATCAATGAGATCATCAGATATCACTGCAAGACACCACCCAATGGGCTCTCAATCATCAACAATACCTGAGTTGTCAATGGGTCCGGGATTGTGGACCTGTTGTCTGTCGTTGAGGTATACTTTACACAATTCCCACCACTTCTTGTCCAACAGATACCAAAACTCCCCCCTTTTCATGGGTTTTTGGGTCAGTTGCAACACTTCGCTCACGTCTGAGCCGCAGTCCATCTCGTGCTCCTTGTTGTCCATCAGTGCCCTCCGAATGTGTGTCCAATTGGTGGTAAACAGTGACCAAATCAGTGACAATCAGTGACACCACTTCACCGTAACGTAAGTCCAGTTCACATGAAGAATGAGTTCACAAATTGAGCTCAAATTCAAACCATTCATGCATTCAATNGACACCACTTCACCGTAACGTAAGTCCAGTTCACATGAAGAATGAGTTCACAAATTGAGCTCAAATTCAAACCATTCATGCATTCAATGCATACGTTTTGAGACCCTATTTATGCTCTACTTTTGCCTTTCAATGCACACAACGCGCCTTCACTCAAACCCTGTGTTATAACGACAGTTATGGAGAGCTCTGATTCACAAATGCATTGCTTTTGTGCGCATGACTTGACGTTTCATTCAAGTGTTGGCTGTGTTTCACAGATTGTCTCCTATTTTAACACACATTTCGTAATACAATTGCGATTTCATTCACTATTTACAGTCAATTCACTTTCACTACTGTTTGAGTAAGCAGTCATACAGTATACACTGTAGTGTTGACAACTATACCAACACTCAAACGCCTATTCAGCAATTATTTATGATTTAAACACTTAGACTAATTGAGTATTACATTAGTTTTCAATGAAATTGCAAACCATTCAAAACTATTGTGGCAAACATTGCAGTATTGGTTCAAATAACTGTTCAATGGTTGAAATAGTTTGAAGACTGTATTGCTTGTAATCTGCATATCCAGCAAATACCCACTCATTAAGACATTGAGTCATAAGTTCATTACATAACTGTAACATTGGGTTAATCCTTGAGATTTGGAAACCCTATTTTCAAGCAGTGTTTTGGTCTACTTTACAAATATTCATAAATAGCTCATTACTGTACATCACTTCCCATTTCACACCACATTTGCAATTGGCATCAATTATGTTGATCTCACCTTGCTAAGTCCTAGCCCACTCATTTACACTATTATTACCTATAATATACTATATTTGAAATTCGAGATTTAACTTATAGTACACTATAGGCCTATTATTTTGTATAAGAAAATTTACTATGATTATTTTGTTAAATATTTTAGCTGTAATACCTGTAGAAAGTTATGAGTCGGTAATTATTACAGGTACTGTATATAAACCACAAATTGTCATATAGTACCAGGGTATCATCCAATTTGTTTTTGTATAAGGTCATTGTTTGCCTTATGAGTGATTCAAATGTATTCCTCCATGGTATCATCCGATTGAGTGACAATTTGGTGATTAATAACTAAGTTTATAATAATATAGTGTATTTTATGATACAGTATTTGCACTGTTAATTAGTATTCAATTATACGAGAATTGTCATTAAAATTAATTAAACATTAAAATTTTCATAGAATAACTTGTCCATTGACTTTACATGGTTAGAAATGAGCAAGCTAATTCATATTAGAAAGTAAGATGTGTTAGTAATTGTATATACCGTGCCGGTAGTGCCTATTCATACAACTTTGTAGATATACCGGTATTCGTGTAAACTTTGTGCCAAACTTTTGGAGTTGCATTGCATTGCTTACAATGCCTTACATTGACTGCTATTGTAAATAAAGCCGTAATTTATATGAAATCAATTCACAACTCAAAGTGTTTTTCAAACGTTTATTCAATTGAATTAAAACTAAAACTAAAGTATATTTAGTTTGCAATCATTTGTAAAAAGTATTGTTTGTATGAATAAATGAAATAAACATTAGTTCCGAGTCTAAGACAATGTGCGAAGAAGTGAAACGATTGCAATCAAACAGTCAATGCATACGCAATGTGTGTGTATTGGCTCACGTGGACCACGGTTTGTACCAATTGGTCACCAATAGGTGATCCATAAGACCAACATATGACACGACATTCACTTATTGATGCCATTGTTTGACTGAATTGAAGGCAAGACAACTTTAGTGGACTCATTGATTGCGAGCAATGGTATAATATCCCGAAGAATGGCCGGAAAGTTGCGATATTTGGACAGTCGAGAGGACGAGCAGTCCAGAGGAATCACAATGAAGTGCAGCGCTATATCACTGACCTATGCGTCCGGTTAGTTAGCACTCGTGTCAACTCATGTCATGTCATCGAGTAAGTTGTGTCCAATCAGGTGATGGCGAGTATTTGGTGAATGTGGTGGACAGTCCCGGACACGTGGACTTCTTCGGCGAAGTGTCGACAGCCATCCGTTTGTGCGACGGGTGTATAGTAGTGGTGGATGTGGTGGAGGGGGTGTGCAGTCAGACCAAGAGTGCTCTCCAACAGGCGTGGATCGAGCGCTTGAAACCAGTCCTTGTGCTCAACAAAATCGATCGCTTGTTCGTCGAACGGAAGATGAGTTCTTTGGATATTTATATGCATTTGTTGCAGATCTTGGAACAAATCAATGCTTTTTTGGGACAACTCTTCACTTGTGATGTATTGGGTAAATGTGTGCCCAATTCACTGCCCGACCAACCCGTCAATGATTCCGATGGCAACCAACAAACCTATGATTGGAGCTCTGGTTTGGAAGACTCGGACGACTCTACACTATATTTTACGCCCGAAACCGGAAATGTTGTCTTTGGGAGTGCTATCGATGGCTGGGGTTTCACTATAAGTGATTTCAGTGGTTTCCTGTCTGCCAAGTATCACATCAAAGAGGAAGTGCTAAACCGAACCCTTTGGGGCGACTATTACTTGAACAGCAAAGATAAGAAGATAATGAAAGGCGCGCTCTCGAAGGCCAAGAAACCTATTTTCGTGACAATGGTTTTGGACAATATTAACGCCATTTACGAAGCGGTGGCCATTAGACGAGACAAACAGATGATCCAAAAGATAGTCACTTCTCTTGGTATTAAATTTACAACACGTGATCTCAATCACTCGGACTCCCGGAGTCAACTGCACTCTATTTTCTCGCAATGGTTTCCCATATCAAACGCTGTCCTTAAAATGGTTTGTCGTATAATTCCGAGTCCTTTGCAAATAAGTGAGGAACGGGTGGAGAATTTGATGTGTTCTAACACTAAACGATTTGATAGTTTGCCTCAACAAACACAACAACTTAAGAGTGATTTTATGAAGTGCTCTTCAAATAGAGATTCAACTCTTATTGTCTGCGTTTCTAAAATGTTTCCGTTTGAGAAGAAATTTTTGCCACAAAACAGACAAAGAGCTCTCACTCGCGAAGAGATACTAAATCGTAGACGACTTAAAGAATTAGAAGACAAATCTGTGAAACACTTAGAGACTGATCCGCAAACACAAGGGAATTCAGTATCAAATGAAGTGATTGACGCGATTGACAAACAAATTGAAGAGAACCCCAAAGTTTTTATAGCTTTTGCTCGAGTATTCAGTGGTAGCATCAGAAATGGTGATACAGTCTATGTTTTGGGTCCCAAACATAATCCCAATAAAGTTAATGATAAGATGGAAATTGATTGCAATCTAACGATCCATGACTTGTCATCCGATCAACACATAACAAAGTGTCAAATCAATGATTTATATGTTTTAATGGGACGAGAACTGGAAAGTGTGGACGAGGTTTGTGCCGGAAATCTATTAGGTATTGGAGGCCTTGAAAATCATATATTAAAATCGGGAACCCTTTCGAGCACAATATATTGCCCGCCATTCATTGACTTACATTTAGCTACTGTTCCTATACTTCGAGTGGCAATAGAGCCCCAAAATCCATCAGAAATGCCAAAACTAATTAATGCATTGAAAATGTTGAACCAATCGGATCCCTGTGTGGACGTAAAGATACAGGAAACTGGAGAACACGTCATTATGACCACCGGTGAAGTACATCTCCAGCGCTGTATTACTGATTTGACTCAATTTTCATCAATTGAATTAAATTGTTCCGAACCTATAGTGCCTTTTAGGGAGACTATAGTGAGTCCACCGAAGCTGGATATGACTAATGAGCTAATTTCCGCTCAAAAAGCCAATCCTTGTATTTCGGACAACAGTGACCGGTCTATAGAGTTATTGACTGTCAACAAAAAGTCAAAAATCAAATTCATTGCCAAACCATTACCAGAAGAAGTTTGTAATTTATTAGAGAAAAATACAAATCTTCTAAAAGTTATAACAAGAACTCAACGAAAATCTGTTGAATTTTGTGAACAAATAACACCACAAACGTTGCAATCAATACAAGAACTGCGGTCTCGTCTGCAGAAAGCATTTGTTGACTCGGAATGGCCTGAAGAGACAGTCGACCAGATTTGGTCAATTGGTCCTAAATATTGCGGAACTAATATTTTATTGAATAAAATTGCAGGTTTTAATCGATTTAATTCATGTTTTGGCAAAAATGATATTAATTTGTCTCAAGAGAATGATTCCATGGATAATGAAATTCGATATCAATATGAGAACAGTTTTGTTAGTGGTTTCCAATTGGCGACACTCGCCGGTCCTCTCTGTGATGAACCCCTTATGAGTGTCTGTTTTATTGCTGAAGAGTGGACCATCTCTTGTGATAAATTAGATTTAAATAACGATCCCTTCGGACCATTTAGTGGACAAATCATGTCGACAGTGAAGGACGGTTGCAAACGGGCCTTTCAGGCGCAACCTCAACGTCTTATGGCAGCCATGTTCTCCTGTTCCATACAAGTAGATGACGATGCCTTAGGTATGTGTTTGATTTTGCCATTTATTTGCTTATTCTGTATTTGAGGTACGGATTACTTAACAAGCTACTGTAGTTACTTTTTAAACTTAACACACAATCTGAAATTGCTGTTAAATGTATGCTGTTACCATAATACTGTACAATATATATTATTACAGTTATGTGTAACCTTATAGTTAATTACATTGAATTAAGTTCTGGGAGCATTTGTTCGCCACTATTCCTAAATATATTATGTCAACTGTCCGCAAATACCTGGATAAATATATGAATATTATTCTGTATTTGCATACAATTTTTTATATTAATATTTAATTATTATAAAGCTCATAACTGAACTAACTGGTAACTAACTCAAGTGATTATAAAGAGTGTAATTGCCGACTTATATTATCTTAATATTTATGGTACTGTCCGCAATATTGGTGCATAATCAATTTTAGAATATTTAATATACAGGTATCGTACTGTATTCTTTATACAAATATTTTTGTATAGAAATGATAAAAACTCATATTTAAAATAATATTCAACAAAATGAATGTTATAAGAATACTATTAAAACTAAATAAACTGGAAACATTTTAACATGGTGTTTATTCCGGTTAAATAGAGATATAAGTAATTGATAAACATTTGTATATTTATATCGGTATAGTTACATAAATGGTTTAGTATTGTAATTGCTTTTCGGTATATAATTTATTTTTTGTACCGTAATTTAGAAATTATCAAAACTTAAGTCAGTTGATAGTAAATAAATAAATAGGATTCTAATAAATATTTAGCATTATATTATTTTTAATCGTTTGTTTTGATGATTACCATAAGCCCTGATCAGTAGTTGAGTTAAGCACAGCATAAGCCAAATCCCAGGGAAACGCCGGTAAATCTGTATCTTCTTTTGACACTAGTTTTCAAAGAGATTTATATTAAAATAGTGTTTCAAATAATTGTGACTAAATTATACCAATTTTAGTAGAGCTAAAAAGTCTAGCCTTCTTGACGCCCTGATTGCATAGCATTCCTGTGAATAGGATTTGAAAATGTTATCCAACTATTGCTTACTGAACACTATGTAATGAACATGTAGTGCACTGACCGTATACTCGGATTCCGGCTACTCTGGCATAAGGCGGGTGACTATGAGTGTAGGGGCCCTCGAATTGTGCCGTATCCGGACACCGGCATACCATAACGTAGTGGGCTTTACCACTTCGCTCACTCTGGAGGGCCAGTAGTGTCCAATCAGTGGCCGCTTTGCACATACGAACACTCATTAGGGGCTCACATAGCTTGACCTGAGTGTACACCTGTAACCCAATAATGATATCATTGATACAATTAGTTGATAGTATGTGGTGTTGAAGACATTTCACACCTTTTTGTCATATCTTCGGGTCAACTCAATGGTGTGTCCGTCATCTAAGGCTGTGTCTGCACTGCACTCCCAATTGAAGTTCTCAGAGCACTGGCAAAGGGGTTGTGTGTGATTCATGCGAACGAATAAAGCGCTGCAAACCTTCAATTTAAACAAATTATTTGTGAAATCATTTTTATGCTTTCATTACAAACCTGTTGAGCCGCACATTCCGGTAAATTATGTCTATATTTTGGACCACTATTTGTGATGTTTTTCTCCTAAAAAAGAATTAATTAATTAATTTCTAAAATGAGGTCAAATGCTAATAGTGCTAATTGATGCCATATTAATCTTTCGAGTTTATCGAAAATTTATATTAAAATTTGTAATTTATCATATATTGATTAATTTAGAATTATTCTAAATATTAATAATATATTTTTATGTTTTTAAAGTCAAAAGTTTTTAAAAACTTTATGGAACCAAGAGTTACATTTGGGATTTTACATTAAATTAAACTAACATAATAATCCTTTAATTATTTATCATATAAAATTGAATTGAAATATGAAATAGAAATGATTCAAAAGAGTTTTAAAATATTTGTGAACTTATTTCAACCGACCGCAACCGAGGATTTATTTTAGAAATAAACCTAACCAGGGACAAACATAGTTATTTAGTCTATAGTATTTGCATTTTAAATTATTAACTACATTTCCATTTGAAATATTCTAACTATTATATACTACTGTAGTATTTTATTCACCCCCCCCCCTCTAGGGGGCCCTCTATTGAATTGTATACCGATAGTAAATTACACAATTGACAAATATCAGATCTCTTGCCATATATTTATTGAAAAAAATTAAAATTAAATAAAACTTTAGAAAATGTGAATTAAAATTTTATAAATTTATTAGATGATGTAATTTAGAATTTAAATTTTAAATATAATAATTAGTGTTTATGAAAATATTGTTAGCATGGTACAATATTTTCAGTGTTAACCAATAATTTGATTATCTAAATAAATTAATTGTAATTATGACCAAAGTTTGTGTGATATTTGTATGGAATTTTATACCATTCATAATTTCAATGTTAATTCTTATACAATCTATTAGTTATAAAAACTTACTTTAAAATCATTAACAGAAGATTCCGCATAAGTTTGCGGCTTATCTTTGATTAGTTTGGTTGTCCGCAAACCCAATGTCTCTATAATACAAACAATGACCACAAATACACATATTCTGAGACTTATTTGATTTTTCATTCTTAAGACTTAAACACAAACTTCACTGAAATTAACTGTATTTAAGTAAACGATTGATTTGAGCGCTGAGTTGAAAGAAATAGCTGAAAGAAGGCCATTATATCGTCGATCGCAGGGCTTCTCGACGAAGAGGTCACTTCTCAACCTCATTATACGGGTTTTATTTGGGGTTTTTAGTCAAATCCTGTATTAAATGAAATGCTTCTAAACTTTATAATTAATATCTTAAATAAATTATTGGTTCACTTTATTTTATATTTCAAGACAAGAGTTGAATTAAATTTTTAAATTATCAAATATTATCTCATTGTGTGCGACTATCCTATGCTTCGTGTTACCATCGGTTAGACTAATACATGTCCTCATAAAAGGCCTGTTTTCAAGTTCAATGCAATTTTACTTATCATTTTGTTGCTTTTTACTGGTTTGTTCATGTGTAAATAGCTGGCTAGTTTTATCAATTTAATATTGCTTATTTATATGTTGCATTGTTAAAGTTTTAATATACAGTACTATACTGTGCTTATCATAATTATATTAATGGTTACAGTATAAGATGGGAAAATGCATAATAAATTAGTATAAAATCCACTCATAGTATAGACAGATTAAGATGAAATCTTGCCAAATATTTACTTATCTTTTGTATCTATACGGGTACTACCGTATTAATAAGTTTTTCAACAAATAACTTGATCAGTTATTAAACATATGTGTAAATTATTTAAATGAGTTGAGTTTGATTTATACCAGTTAGCAATAGCTTGCTAGACTAACAAGTAAGATGGTTTTATATTAAAATGGTAAACAAATTGATTTTGTTAATTGGTATTTGTTAAAATATATCATTTTTATTATAGTATCACTCATATTATTTTACAATTAGAAAAATAAAGACTAAATTTACAATAATTATCAACAACATCTATTTTATACAATAAAAATAATATAATTCTTAACGAGTTGTTTGAATGAGTACTTAAACAAATAATAATAATAATTAATGGTTTTTATATAGAAGTGGAATGAAAATGAAAACATTAATATATTGTTACAATTATTAAATCAGCGGCAAAAGGATTTTAAATTATTTTTAATGAAATGTTTATACAAGAATAATTAACCAATAATAAATAACATGAAAATTACAAAACTATATATTTAATATAATTGAATATTTTAATGACTCAAAAATACTTTTAGACATTTGAAAGAATCATAATTTCAACTCAATATTATAATAAAACAATAAATAAATAATTTTGCACTTAATTTAATGTTTAATGATTGTAATTGACATGTATTTATTTGAATGTATATATTATGTCTACCGATTTCCATAAAATCTCTGATCATTTTTAGTATAGAAATATAAAAGATAGTCATTCATTATAATGTGTATTTATGTTGTAGGGACAGTTAGTTAATGACTATAACTTTTGAATGAATAATTTTAAGAGTTAATGGCTCAGGATTTTTATAAACTTTAGCTACAAATTTGCGATTATAACTGTAGTGAGGTACAAAATATCTAAATTAAAACAATTGAAACGTTTGTTAATAATTTAGTAGATATGGTTTTGAGTATCTTTTTGTAAATAAATTTCATTTTAAAGTTTGTAAATCAATAATAGAGTTGTCGTCCATTTTTCTAAAAGAAATGAATCAAGAATTGTATGATAAATAAGTGATGAATAATGAATAGTTAGCCAAATAAGTCTCACTTGACTGGTTTGGAACAGTAGCCGCTGTATGTCCTGATATGATCGGTTACACCATATACTGTTCCGGCTGTTATCACATTGGCTTGTTTGTGGTGAGTGGGACACACATATCCCTCAGCACATTGACAAAGTGTGTTAGTATTCACTTCTTCCACATCTGGTCTCTTACGTACAGTAAACAGACGACACGGCTCTTTGCGCTCACACCTCAGCCTCTGTTCAATACAATCAATACAATCAATACCATCAATACAACCAAACATTACATTCATATATCTCTGCAATCATCACATTTTCGCAACTCTTTTCCTGCACATGATTGCTATAAGTATTTATTAATCCCAGACCTACTAACCTAAAGCTGTTTAAATTTGATATACAATAATTTAATTATTATACCTTAATAATACTGTTTTAATTATGGTATAATAATTTAAATTAAACTAATTTAATTGCTTACTATTTCTAATCTTTAGTTTGTATTTAGATGTCAAGTGTTAAACTAATACAATACTGTACAGTTTTGTCTTTTATACTATCTTGATAAAATGAGGATAAATTCTATAAGAATTACGATGATTAATACAAGCATTTAAGGTGTGAATTCGTATTATATAGACTTAACATTAGTGTCACAAAATTTTGAATTAATTTATAAAAATATGCCAAACTCATTTAAATGCCTAAGCTATTTAATTTGTAAACATATACCAATAGTTTAAAGTTAAGTACAATAATCATTGATAAACTTACAGTTTCTGGCGAACACGCGAATAGATATTTATATCCAATGCCCATTTTGGATGATTTAAATATTTGGTGCTTAAAAATATAGGCCACACTATTCTTAGGACAGACACAGTTAACTGTCTGAGTGGTCGTGTTGTCTGCATTTGTGGTCAGAGTCCACGTTATGTCTCGAAAATAGCGACAAACGGGCAGTTTGTTTATGGGTTCGCACAGCTTTAGGCAAAACAAATATTAGATTTTCTGTGAATATAATAATCATTAATATGAGACTCACTTTGAGTTGTCTCGACTTATCCCCTAACGTGTGGCCATCGTTTGCATCCAAAGATGTCGAACAGGACTTAGTGCCCGAACAGCGACACTGTCTCTCTATCCATGGAGTCGAATAAGTATCTAATTTATTGCACACCGACCACAACGAGCACACCGGTAGGTCCTCTTCCGATGTCACCTACCAGTTCACAAATATACAAATATTTTCTTATTCCTTGTTACTATGTTTTAATCAATTCATTTACTTGAATATATCATTTTCAAATCAATTATTCTAGATGAAAGTCTTTCTATAGTCATAAGTTTAACATCAATTTCCCAAAGTTTTCTTTATGGTGTTTTGTGTTATACATTCTGTATATTAATTATGCATGTTTTATATTATACAATACTTTGTACAGTATGTTAAATATAAATGCTTAATTAGATTTTATACTGTAGATGTTTTAAGGAAGTTATAGCATTTTTATACTATGTACAGTACTTGTTAATAATATTATGTTAAAAGTTTTGTGAACCCATTATTTATGTACTAATTTCCCAAATATGTATATAATTTCTTAAAGGAATTATGACAGACAATTAAGTCCTTTTTGACATTTAAGCATTTTTTCGATTTAAAATATTTTACACTTATACGGTTATTTAAATTTATAATTATAGTGCTCACGAATATTTTTAATAATGGAAATAATTCCATCAAGCAAATTATTATAAATTATTTGTATATAAGAATTTCTGAATATAAAACTTCATTCCATGTGTTTAAATAGCTAATATACTGTTTAATATTCTGTGAAAAAATTTTAGTAACAGTAAGCCCAAAACCATTTTATACAGTAGGGGACTCCATAATTTTCCCCAATAATGCTTTTTTGCATTTTATGTTTTAATGGTTTTTATATTTTTTTATTAAACATTTATTTGTATTTTTTTGTTGGTATATTTCAATTTAATGTTGAATTTCATTTCATTTTGTCAAAAAAAGGAACATGTACTGTGCCTTAAAATACATTTACAAGTATAAATATTTTTTGTTTAATTTAAAATTCGATTTGAATTATATACCATTATTTATAGTATAAATTTTATTCTGATTCTTTAAAAATTTGAAGTATT